TTAGTATTTTTAGTTGCTCTTATGTCAGTATTAGTAATATACATGTTTTTATTCCACATCCTATTCCACATAAAATAATACGCTAATTCCCATATAAGTTGTGCAGGTATTATTTGTGTGGAGTTTTATAGTGAAACTGAATATTTTATCAGCAGTGTGAATTTGTATTATTTTTTTCTTATATGTCTAATAAAATAACCCCTTAAAGATGTGTCAGAAGACTCAGTTTGTTAGTTGCAAAATAAAAATAAACAAATAATCAATCAATCAGAGATCTCAAAACAAAAAAAAAAAAAGCTCCATATTTGGTTAAATCTTGAACTTGCTTTTCCTTTAGTATTTTCTTGTCCGTATCTTACAGCTTGTCCAAACGATCAGTATGTTAGTAATCTTTTAAAAGGACCACTGATGACATCAAACTTTGTATATTCAGTTAAATTTTGTACAGAATTTGATCTCTTTTATTATTCTTTTACTCCATCCATGTCCGTAGTTTCATTTTAGTCTTAATCTGTCTCGAAATTATGTCCAATATAGCAAAACAGTTTCACATGGATGGAGTAAAATTCAAACGTGGACATTCAAATTGAAGTGGAGGGTGAGTTTTGGTTTAGAAATATCCAGAATTGATTTCTGTTTTCGCTACTGCTGAAAGGTCCAATCTCCTTCTGGAACTGCTAATATTTTCATAAGCTTTGATGTTTATGCTCTGAATGGTTGATTTGTATGCTTTTTATTTATGTTGTTCTTGTTAGGGGGTTGCCCAATTCTTTTTCCAATTCTTAGTACGTGTTACTTTTTGGCCACTAAATCTAATAGTAACTTTTCAATCTTCAGAGAGTGACAAAGGAGAAAAATGCTCTTGCTGAAAGGTTGAAAAGTGCTGAAGCTGCTCGAAAAAGATTCGATGAAGAATTGAAACGTTATGCGACAGAAAAATTGACTCTAGAAGAAATACGAAAATCACTTGAGGATGAAGTACGCCGGTTGACTCAAACAGTTGGACAAACGGAAGGGGAGAAACGTGAAAAGGAGGAGCAGGTTGCTCGTTGTGAAGCATTTATTGACGGGATGGAATCCAAATTGGAAGCCTGCCAGGTTTTTGCTCTTGATAATTTTTCCCTCTTTTTTTGATGCTGCATTTGCTGCATGATATGGTTACATGGAGTCTTTATCTCTTGTTGTTGTTCCTTGCATCTATTGCTTGAACTTCCTCCCGACAAGTGGCATAGGAAGAGGTGGAAAAAGCAAGAAAGCTGTGAACCTCTTTATGATATTTTTGGGGGTTTCTTTTTTCACGTTACAGATAATTTGAGGATTTACTTGTTTGCCCTTGTCCTTTGCATATTTATCTTTCTTTTTACCATTTTCTACGTCCGAGCTTAATACATTCCTTTGTAAAATTTACTTGTGATTAGAGATTAGGAATCAGAACTGATGCCTTGTCATTTTTATTGGTTGTTTCATCTTTCAGCACTACATCCGTCAGCTAGAAGCATCACTTCAGGAAGAAATGTCTCGGCATGCTCCACTGTATGGGGCTGGTTTGGAAGCTTTATCGATGAAGGAGTTGGAGACATTAGCACAGATTCATGAAGAGGGACTTAGACAGATCCATGCTATCCAACAGCATAAAGGAAATCCAGCTGGTAGTCCTCTAGTAAGCCCCCATAACCTTCCGCCCACTCATGCACTGTTTCCTACTGCTCCTCCTCCGATGGCTGTTGGACTGCCCCCTTCCCTGATACCAAATGGTGTTGGGATCCACAGCAAGGGACATGTAAATGGTTCCATCAGGCCCTGGTTCAACCATTCTTGAATCTGGGTCTCAGACTCATTTTGCACCGGTGACGATGTGGTTTGTCGTCTCATTCTCGAGCCTTTCTCATCTATTAGGAGCTTGGTAGCAGTTGAATGTGTACGGTGGTAATCTTTTTTCCATTTTCTAGATCTCTAGGCATTATGGCTGGTAGGACTGTTGGAGAAAGGGAAAAGTCATTAGAGTCTAATAGCACTAACAGTTGCAAATGCCACACTCATTCGGAGTTTTTCTCCTCAAATCAATTAAAAGCGCTAGAAAGTTTTGTTTACTGCTCATCTCATTCTGCAGAAACTTTCCACGATCCTCATATATAACTTTCAAGTTACCTCTTCTCTAACATCTAAAATACAGTTACTACTTCTCTAACTTCCATTGACAGCCTTATAACTTGCATATACCCACTTTTACCACTTGTGATAGTTTTCTTGGTCTGTCTTGAAATCTTCTTACATATTTGCTTCAGTTGTATTTGATAGGTTCTGGTTTACGTTGCATATTCTATATGTAATACATGTAGCTTCCCTGCACATAATAGAGGCTCATTGATTTAGAATCATGATAAATTGCTTCATTGCTCATTTGTCATAAGACCTGGCAAGCTTCGATTCACATCTCTGGATTTGAGCTTTTGCTTCTTGAACTCAACGGTATGGTTTAGTGGTCAATGAAATGAGTGAAAAGAATTGTAGATCAAAGTTCAAATTTCAGTAGACAAAAAATGCACAGTAATTTCTTTTCATTTGCCTAAACCTTGATAGTAGAGTTATCCCGCACTTGTGCCGGTGGGAGGTAGCAGTGTGTGTGCTGGTTTGGACACCAGTATCAACAAATTAGAAAAAGGAAATAAATTTCATTTCGTTCTGGTGATATCATAATTAGTATTGGAACCCTGTACGTGTATAACGATGGGTCTCCCAACTCATTTGCTCCAAAAGGAAAAATAGTTTTCTAAATTTTGAAATAATTTAACTTAAATTTTATATTTTAATTTAATTATAAATTTTATAGCCATATATAAATGTTGTAACATATTCAAGACCAAAAGTGTTAATAGTTTTTATAATTATACAAATATTATGACATATTTAAAATAATAAGTTTTAGAAGTCTTCTACTCATTCTTAAACTCTGTATCACTACAAACTTTGCCATATACATTGTAAGGGAGGATAATTACTCAAGGGTGTCCAGGAGCTTAGCTCGGTTGATACTTAACTAGATTAAATTTGTTCTTAAATATATAAAACTAAATCGAACAAAATAGAATTGACTTTTTGGTCCCGAGTTTTGTTGGTTATTTTAGTCGCACTTAATTTTAATTCACATCATTGAATTTACTAGAGATACGAGCGAAAATTTTGTATGGATTGTAGATACGTTTTCTGTTGCTATATTATAGATTATAGATACGTTTTCTGTTGTTATAAGATGTATTAGATATATTTAAGCTACTGTATTTATGAATACAATAGTAAAAATAGGCGTGAATCAGGGAAGTCCAGCTAATCAGTTGTTGTATTCGACTGTATTCATGGCGTGAAACATGTGATTACAGTTGGACAAATTAATGTATTCGACTGTATTCACACCGTGAAACAGGGGATTACACTGTTTTTAAATGGAAAGTGAATCAATTAACATAATAAACTCATAATATAACTCAACAAACTCAATTATAACACATAAATTTTGTATTTCCAGTTATAAAAAAGATTTTCAACCGAAAAATACCCCAAAAATATAGCAATCTTCAGATAAATTATATAATACATCTGAATACATAAATTATATTAATTCAAAAAATATATGAATACATTTATGGAATACAACGAGACAGTGAATACAATGAAATACATGGAATACAACAAGATACATTGAAATACAATGAAAAAAAAGACAATGAATAAAATGAAATACATGGAAATACCGCGAGATACATTGAAATATATTAATAGAAAATTCAAGTTGCCCAACCCCAATCTCCGTCGTCTTTGTTAAAAAACAAACCCTAATTTCCGACGAATTCGTCGTCGAGCAATGGTGGCAGAATAAGGACTCTGTTAAAGCTTGAATCTTGTATTGAAGCAGTTGTAGGGGTGTGAAAGAATCCATTACTGAAACAAATTGTTTGTATTCTTAAAAAAGCATAAATATAGTGATAAATGACCGTCGAGCTTGAATCTGTTAAACTTTATATAGATGTGTTTGCAGTTGCAGCAGCTCCTACGCAACCGATGACCCTAGTGCTATCTGTCCAAATTGTCGAAACCATATGTCAACATATTTGACGTGGTAACATATATGCATGCTCCGATGGAATTGGGGAAATTGGGATCGGAGAGAACGTAGGTGATGTGGGTGAGAGGAATTTTGAGATTGAGCATCGTATTTTCAGGGAATGGGGGAAGAGAATGTCATGTATTAAAGTAGAGAGAGAAAGAAAATAGTGTAACTGAATAACGTATTTAGTGGCTTAGGGTTAGGAGGTAACCAAAATTAGATATTTTGCTATAAACATTAAAAGGTATCTATAGAATATAATTTTTTAAATAGTATTTATTTAATATAAATAAGGTATTAACATTTGCTATAGGAGGTAAAAATTCCTAACAAATAGGTCGGGGTATACCCATATTTGATTTCTGAACGTGGAGCCACGTGACCCAATAAAAATATATCAGTGCATTAATTTGAAGGCCCACATGTTACACCGTTAAAACGAGGGGCAATTTTATTAATAAAAATAACGTGGTATATATTTTTGGACTGATAGATGGACGGAGGGTAAAAACAAAACATTTACTTACCAAACAATAGGGGTAGTTTAGGCCCTTTTCCGTAAAAAAAAAATAATACAATTGATATCCACGTCTATTTTTATCAATTTTATACAAAGCTCTACCTCATATATATATATCCAGGATGGTTTTGGAGTTTTTACATCTTCATTGTGAACATGGAAGAACAAGAAAATTGAAATATTTCAACAATATTGGATTAGAAAGTAAGTATATTCATTTGGATCAAATACCTAAGAAGGATTTTTTAAAAGTCTCTTATTAGACATTACATCGCAAGAAAGTATCATATACCTTCCCATATTTCTCTGGTTCTTAGGTAAAGCTCTATGCCGCAAATAAATTTGAGCTTGCAAACAACATATGTAGACATGGATATGTAAATTGGTCAAGACGAATTCATTCCTTGCACATTTCACTTTTGACAAAAATTTCAAGGATATATATTATCTTGTAGAACAAACACTGATACTTCTCCCGTTCCAAAATGAAAAAAAAAAAAAAGATCAAGAATGTTTTCATTTACATTGTCTTGTTGAAGCAAGAGGACTTGTTTACTCCTATAGGCCAATATATATATGGAAGAATGCGCCCATCTGCAAAAGATGCTATTACAAACAAATTCTAGAGAATGAAAGAATTTAACTCAAAAAGCATTTAAATAAACCCTGGTAACATTTGATATCGATTCTATTCACTCCAACCCCTATGCCTCTCCCCCCTAGTTCTTCTTTTGTAACTCATATATATATATATAGCATGTTTCCATCTAGAGCCTTAAATTTAGTCTCCTGAGCCATATAGAGTGTAATATCATATGAAACACATCAAACTTCAGAGCAGGCCGGTTTAGTTCAAAATGTTTCCTCACAGCTCTTAAACCTTCTTTGAGCTTCATGTATTTGTCTTCTGGAACAGCCAACAATATCTCCTTTAGCCTTGGGATATCAGAAATATTAACCTGTATTGAGAATGCATCCCAGTTTAGCACATCACTAAAAGGGAAGACGTAATGATCTGATAACATAACAGGAACACATTCGGCATAAATGGCTTCAACGGCTCTTGGGCTAGCAACTTCATAGCCACTTGGGCATAGGCAAAACTTGGACCTCAACAATTCCGAGGGATAATCCATGTCTTTAGGCAGGTATTCATATACACGAAGATCGGAGTCTTTCCCTTTCCAGTGTTCGAAGAGGTTTTTCCGGATATCGCCATGAAGTCCACCAGCAAAGAATCCAAGATAAGGCCTTGAAATGTTGGCTGGTGGAGGAGACTGTAGCTTTGGGGACACTCCACCATTGTAAAGGTAGATTTCAGGAAGGCTCACATCTTTCTGAGGATTGAAACCTTCTGAGGAGTTTGCATTACACAAAACCCTTATTGATGTATTGTACAAAAAATCATTGCCTTTTGAAGCAAGAGGAGCCTGCAATAAGTGTAGCAACAGACCATGTGTGAGTGATAGCACTTTTCACGACATACTAATTGTCAGGAACATTTAATTTTGCTAATCCAATTTATAAATTTTAATGGAATGATCAAAATTTTGCTTACAACAATAACAACAAAAAACCTAATGTATCCAACAAATAGGGGGTCTGGGGAGGGTATTATGTACGCAGCCTTACCCCTACCTTATGCAGGTAGAGAGGCTATTTCTGGTAGACCCTCGGCTCCAAGCAAACATGCAATTTGCTTTCAACAAATTAGTACAAAACTAACAAAGCTTACCCAATCATGGCAAGAAAGCATGAAATGATCAGCTCCATGAGTTTGATTCCAGAAAGGGTATTTTGTTGAGATAAGTCGAACATAATCAGACACAAACTCTTTAAGAGGAGTAACGTTATATGAAAGTGGCTTGTAGAGAAACTTAACCATCCAAGTAACACTAAAAGGCATGAAATAAACATGGGCTGAATGAGGGTCTCTTGTCCTGAATTTACTGTTACCATGTTCCATCTCGCTAATGAACCTTCCTTCACTTGCATATATATCTTTACAAGGCCCATTATGGACTATTATGAAGTCTCCATCTTCATATACATACGCTTTGAATCTCCTCTCCATCTCCTTGTAACTCCTACAAACAATAATTATTTGTAATACAAAATGATAGTCAAGTCCACTAAGATGTTCAATGATAGCAATAGTACGTAATTATAACAACAGCAGCTTGCCTACAAAATAAAAGTGACAAAGTGGGTACGTATCTTAAGTCCCAATAAAAAAATAATGACTAACATAAGTATTAAGTATCAAATATATGTTGGTTACGTGAAATCCCAATCGCTTCAACCGCAAGGCAAATTATTAGAAAACTAATATATAAGCAATCATAGGAAACTCAATCACACTAATCTTATTTGCTTAATCCTTAATCTTATAATATGGAATTATTTTTTCTAACTCCTTTTGGTTCATTTACTTATGATCAATAATATGAATTGAGATACAAGAAAAAATAAAATGTACAGAAAGAATTTTTCCGTGTTCAATGCTGAGTAACTAAACTTCCTAGCTTAGCTTTTAATGTATGTAGGTGAAGTATTAATGTATCAATAGGAAAAAAGAAAAGAAAATGAAAGGCAAAACCATAAACGTATTGAGGAAATAAAGAGAGAAATTACTACATCACATGACCTATCAATATAAATTACCAAAACTGCCGAGAGAGGTACGTTTTTTTCATTAGACTGGTAGCAGTGGTGCCATTCTTACAGCTGATATTTTAAGGAAAAGTAAACATCTTTGTTAGCTGGCGTTCCATATGCAAACACTCAGAATGAAGACGTGGACTACCAGTTTCAATATTAATTTGATCTCATAAAGCCAAAGCTAGCTATCAGTAAGATAGTTACACTATCTCACAGTTACGGCTGAGCTGACTCTCAAAGCATCACTTTACATGGGTAGGTGACGGAGTTAGTAAAAACAGAATTGAATCTTTTCGATTCCATGCAAAATTCTGCAATGCTACGCTAAACATTATGTCCAATTTTAAATTTATGGGAAATAATCTTCAAACGCAACAAATTACGTAATTATTTCCCGGGGTATGCAATAAATAGACGACACTTTTTTTTTTATGACCAATCGTCAAATATTCGGTCAAAACCAAACTACATTTTTTGATCAAAGATCCGATTTTTTGCTTAATTTCCAGATAAGATACATTTTAAAGGAGGCTTTATTGTCATTAACGATTAATAAGCACTCCTTGTGTGCTAACAAGGACTACTTCCCACGTCATTTGTAAGTATAAAGTTTTAACGTTATCTATTGCGTATAATGAATTTCGAGATATATTAGGCATTTCTTTTCATGTTTTCTTGCGGTGGGAACAAAAAACTTTGGTCTCAATTACAAAAAATCATAGATACTAGTCCGGATGCATAACAAATTCTCAAACCTATATTAGGAATCAAAGAAAATATAACTTTAATATGCAATCATAAGAAGTGTAAATGGTAGATACATAACGTGACAAACTAGTCAACGGCGTATCAGTTAAGTACAAGGACTCTTAAAATTCGATATGTAACACATGATAGAAGAAGCGTTTCATCTTTCGCTTTTTATATTTTAAAAATTTACAAAAGCCAAACTAAAATTTTAAGGTAAGATGAAAATGCAGAGCCGCCCAAAAATTTGAAGGGATACATGCCAGCCGCATATAAGAGGAGTATTTTTCACGACCAATGAATATAACAAAGCGGCTTTTCCACAGAAGGCAATCAAGTGCGACCTCTGTAGGAAACATTGATTGTGCGCACTAGACATACCATGCGTCAATTAGAAGACTTCCTAACATTCCACTTAATTGACGTCCTAACTGGGGCGGAGCTAGAGCGTCTCTTATGGGTTAGGTTAATTCTTTAATTTGGGTTCAAATTTTATATTCGTCTAAAGATTTTATATATATATNTTTCAAAATAATAGCGAATTTTTTAATATTTTTTTTGTATATATATATTCTGTATGTCATATACAAAAATTATATAGGTTTTATGCACTTTTTTGACTACCAAAGTAAATAGTTTTTGGCTCGAACTAAAAGTGATAATACCCTAATCCGAGTCTGCCTCTACTGGCTAATACTCCACTCCCAAAGCGCACCCTCCCATGGGGAAGACCGACCTAGTACAGGTCAATAGATGCAGCCTCACTACTGCGTTGAACTAGTAAATATATAAGTCAATTGTTTATAAAAAGAGGAGTACTATATATCTACATTTATACAAATTACATTAATAAGTATATCAACGATCTAAATCATCCACTAGTTTAATAAAAATCCTACATCCCTTCTTACCCTCCACTCTATGCTGGAGTTTGGGAAAAACTAATTATGACTCACATTTAATATTACTCTCGACTTGAACAATATATTCTTGTTTCTTTGGCCTGAATTATATAGTATTCAGTTAACAATATTTTATATACGTGCGCGTGTGCTAATACTAAATTTGTACATATAGTTTAAAAACCAATACTTCGTCCAATGATCAAGACTTTGGGTCAGTCTTTACATTAAACTTCACGTCGGAGTATAGAAGGGAGGTGATAAACAATAAATTATAAGAGAACACAATTGGAATGTGAACTGTAGTGGTTCTGGTGAGTAACTTAGAAGGAAAGTAGTTATGACTTGCAAAAAAGCTCCTTTTAGAGCTTTAATCTTAAATAAATTTTATTATTTTTCCATATTTTTTCCATATATATTGAAATTGAACGAGACTTACTGATAAAATGCGCCTGGATTACGGTAGATTCCACCGGGGTTTATGATCGACTGATTTCGAACACCAGCAGCTTTTCGAATCGCCCCTCTCGCTCGTGCCAATCCTTCCTCTTTCTTATCAACTTTCCTCTGCCGAATATAATGTTCCAGAAATAGCATTCATATTATTCCACACTCAAAAAACTCACCAATAACAAACGTAAATGAAGAAAACTTTAGTTTCAAAGAGTTTCACGTATATACAAATTCCTAGAATCAGATAATCTCTCAAAAACTGATACAGCACGTGATGCTTAGAGTTCCACATATTCAAAAACTTCACAAAAATCGCTAAAACTTCAAAATTAAAGCTTTCTTCTGAATCATTCAGTGAAGCTCTATCAACAGGACTACTTTCACCAAGCACAAACGTAAATGAATTAAACTGAAGTTTTATTGTTCTGTTCATAAAAAAACTCCACAGATTCAGAAAATCTCTCGAACAAATGACGTTTTCTAAAGCATTAAAGCAAGCTCTATCAATAAATCCAAATTCACAAAAAACAAAAAAAAACTGTAATCTCCGATGAAATTTAAGGAAGAGCATTGAAATAACTCACAACAACGGCAGATTTTCTATGAATCGGAGCGAACGAAGAGTTCTTCCGATAGAACGAAATATCAGAAGCGATGGCTCGCGACGGATTCTGATTAGCCACGGCGGCGGCGATCACTTTCTTCTGCAACTCAACAATCGAAACAGTACTACCAGAATTCACAGCAACCGCAGATGATCGGAAGCCGCTTCCGAGAAAAACTGCTATCACTGATACAACAAGTACACAACAGAGTACACCTAAATAAGCATAAAGTACTCCTCCACCACCACTACTACCACCTTCATTATCACCACTCTTTTTAAAAATCATCATCCTATATATATGTGTATATGTGTGTGTGAGAGAGAGAGAGAGAGCGAGAATTTTCAAGGAATGTGAAGAGGCGGTTATGGCGGGGAAAGAGAATAGAAGAGAATTGAGCAGTTTTTCTCCTACTCGGCTTCTTCTTCGTTTAGGGGTAATTTATAAATGGCGGAAAAAAAGGTGAATGGCGTGATAGCTAATGAAATTGAAGTTACAGCTGAATTTACTTTTTGGCCCTTACCCTTTTTGGATATTGACAGCGACATTTTTTCGAAAGGGTCGCAATGAACTAGTATGAGTTTGGTAAGCTCGCTAGCGCCTCGCTTAGGTGATTATGGGATGAAACTACTTTGTTCGATATAGCAAGACACCTTATTACTAATTTTATTTTATTTTTAAAAATAATAAAATAAATATTACTGCCTCAAATAACCTTTGGAACTATTTTTCGAAAGGAATTATTTGGTGAAAAGCGTTCATGTAAAAAAAAGCACGTATTTCAATATTTCGTAGTTTTTTATTTTTGAAAATTTGTAAGCTCGTTGCAATAAGTGGAAGAAGATGTTTTGGTTAACAAGAGGAACTTCTCCGATTTCTTTTTTTTTCTTTTTTCTTTTTTCTAGAGGAACTTCTCCGCTAATCTTTTAAAAATTTAATCAAGTAACGGTTTTCTTTTTTGTATATACTACGTTTTACCTGTGTCTAATTTAGAACATGGGAAGCAATTATAAGATACATTCAAATCTTAGTTCTCTGTGTTTGTTTCATAGAAGGAAATTGGATCAATTTCTTTTTAGAGAAAATTTTTCCATTTTTTCTTACTTTCTTCTTTGTACTACACGCTAGGTTAACAAAGTCTGAGCTGGCGCGAGAAGAAAATGCAAACACTTCCCCCAAATGAGAATGAACAACGACAAAATTAGAAGATGATCGAAGTGCCTCAAGGATCCCCGTTTAGAAAGAAGGATCGAAGGTTTTGGGCCACTTATATATATCTTTCTCCGTCCTCCCTTTATTAGATGGTGCTTGTGTGGAGGGTGCGCCACCAGAAATTGAGCTTAAAACTCTCACCTTACTAACAAGTCGTGAGTTGATGGTTGTTGGTCACGATTACTACCAAAAACCTAGCTCCTATGAAGATAAATATTTCATATGGAGGAATGTTCATCTTTATGTTTGGTGTTATTCTGTTATGTGACAGGATGAGTTATGTAAGGCCTATGACGCACGACTCAGTGTGGGACCTCACCTCAGGTTTTACTTCGTACACTAATCTCCCTAGTGGTTTACAATGTTACGTTTTTATTTCTTTTTGTAGCTATTCTTTTAATCTGTTATTCTAATTATTGCGAGAAAATTTGCAATCTATCTAATTTCCCCTTCTAATGTTAAGATTTTTTTTTTTAAATTTTGTGATGTTTGTCAGTGAAAGAGTTTGTTTTATCATGATGATTGTTCATTCATTTTATTTTTATTTTTCTTTTCTTTCTTTCCTGCTTCACTTGGGGAGTATGAGTTGAAGGATCACTTATTATAAATGGTGTTTTTGCAGAAGGCTCAACAATAATCTGCCGCCTACCATTCTTAGCACCTTGTGATATGGAGTTAAGTAAAGCTGCATATATATCAACGTGAGATTAGACTGATAGCTCCGCACTTCATACTTCATATATAGAGCAAGCAAAATTAAACAATTACAATGTCCCTATTAATTAACTTGATATAGAACACGAGAAGTTAATGCTAATAATGTCTAGGACCACGGTCAGATTACAATTTTCTTACATTAATGATAAATAGGTTAATTGTTATAAAGAAATTAAAAAAAATGGTGGTAAGTGTAGTATTATAAATACGGAAAAGGGCCAAAATTATCCCTCTCGTTTGCTAAATAATTTATAAATACCCTCCATCCACCTATCCGTCCAAAAAAATACATTACGTTAATTCTATTAACAAAAATACCCTCGCGACTAACAACAAAATTGGTGAGTCTTTCATTTAATGACGTGGAGATTTTTAACTGGGTCACGTGGCAATCTTTGACTGAAACAAAAAATGGATATTATTTCAATCCATTTACCTTATCCGAACCATTTACAAAAATGGGTGGAATCTATCACACCCATTCCCATTAATCTGACCTCCCACTTTCTTCTTCTCCAATCATAAACCCCATCTTTGGACAAATTACAAAACAGAAATGGACCAAATTTACACTAGTAAATTTCAGTTTCAGCTTCCTACAACGGAGCCACAACAGATTTTGAAATCATAATCGCATCACTGTCAACAGGCTCAACTTTCGCATCTTCATATACTGGATTCACATTTACAGCTCTAGAGTCATTCATCACCACAAGCTTAACCTCAAACGCCTGGGTAAAAAGTTTGTTCACCTGCACAGGTGCGACTGCCTCAAACACTTACTTTACTTCTCTTTTGACTGAGTGAAGCTCCGACTGCATAATCGCTATCAAATCTGACTGTGGAGGTATTCTAGCAGTCAACAGTTGAAATCAATCGCTCGATGAGTTGGGCTCCTTATGGTTCGAGGAACAAGAAGTGGCAGTGATGACGATGATTATACCATTGATAAAAATAAAGAGAAACAGAGGTTTAAGCCAAGCTATAACGATACTCCAAATAGTTGGGAATTCGTTAAAAACCCGTGGAATTGGCGCTTTTAATACCAGTGCTAAGGAAAGTGCCCCAATTGATATTAGCACAACCTTCAGTGATAGAATTAAACTATTCGTCGATGGTGCCATTTTAATTTCTCCGATAACTTTAACGAAATTATTTGTTTTTCTGGCTAGTGTTTTGAATTTTCCGGTGAGTGATTTAATTTAGCTGTAAAGTAATTTAATAAAGGCACAATGTTTACACACAAAATCAAGCTTTGAAGGAAAAGAAAATTTTGGGGGAAAAGCTCATATGAGCTTTGAAGGAAAAGGAAATTTTGGGGGAAAAGCTCATATGAGCTTTTCAGATGACCAAGATTCTAATTGGGAGAAGAAGACTGAAAATCGGTAGGGTTAATGTAGTTTTATGACCCATGTAACAAACTTAGGATCGGATCAGGTAAGTGGGTCGAAATAAGTTATTTTGGCCTGAAACTACCACGTGGTCTAGTAAAAAATTGTCATGTCATTAAATTGAAGGCCCACAGGTTCTTCCGTTAAACGTGGGAGTAATTTTAATAATAGAATTAACTTCGTGTACTTTTTTGGACGAATATATGGACGAAGAGTAATTTTAAACCATTTAGCAAACGATAAGGGTAGTTTAGGCCCTTTTCCGTGATAAATACACAAAAAGTTTTTTGTAGTAAACTGAATATTATAATATTATCAATAGTGCTGCAAAATTACATCGTTAGTACGGGAATCGGAGTTCCCTTGAGTAGTAACAAAACTAGTAAGTGTATAAATATTACAAATATTGACTTTCCTCTTAAAAATAATTCCTAATGTTTGCCCACACTGCCTCGTTAGAAAACACCAGAGGAACTGCCAAAAATTAAGTATTTTCAAAGCATCCTTTTTTTGCTCATTCCTTTGCGAAGAGGTCCGCCACTTGGTTCTGCTCCTTGTAGCTATGCCATATGGCTGGATTCCCCAGCTGCTCCATCATTGACCTGCAATCATAGATTATGGGGTTGTGAGTCAAATTGCCATTTTTATCATGTTTATTACCTTAGTGGAGTCAGTATCAATTACAATTAGAGATAACATATGATCAATAACAATTCTTAACCCTTGCCAAAGAGCTTGAAGCTCCGTTGTAATAGGGGATGTGTTAGTTAAATATTTCATGTAGCTAGCCCATAAACCAGTCCCCTCTATTGTTCCTAAAGACACCTGTTATACCCCCTTGCCTAGTTGAAGCACAAAAAGGTCCATCAATGTTAAGCTTTATCCTAACCTCTAGTGGCTGCCATTTGAGGTATTGAGTAACTCTTACAGGGAGTGACTTCTGCCTAGCAGCTACGTGGCAGTATTCAACTGCCATAGCAATTGCTTGATGGATAGAGATGTGGTTCTTTCTTTTTTCAGGCATATTAGTGTTTTTGGTTTTCCAGATGACCCAGAAACAAAATGGGAGCATTATTTTCCAGTCAATACATGCATTGAAGGGGATATGCTGAAGTCTTTGCCAAGTATCCTCCCATTTTTGCATTGTGAAAGCATTTTGGGGGAGTTTCTGGCTATTGGTGATGGCCTTAGCCAGGTTAATCTAGAAAACTTTGGCATTGGGACCATCAAAGAAGATGTGGTTGATGTCCTCTTGTCACGACCCAAAAACCACTAGACGTGATGACACCTAACTCGATCCTCTAGGTAAGCCAACTAACAGAAAATACAATTCAAATGAGATTATAGGAAATATAGTGAAGAATTTTATGAATATTTACAAATTGACCCAAGAACTGGTAGTACAAATTATGAACATCTAAAATTTGGAATTTACAAAGCTGATACAAATAATTACATGACATGTTTGAAATTTATATAACAGATTAGTAAGATCTAAGCTACCAAGGACAAGTGACAGCTATATCTGAAATCATCTCTCGACATTACCAGCAGCTCTGCTCAAAAAGAAAATCTGCATGCAAGGTGCATAAGTGTAGTATGAGTACAAGCGACCCTATGTATACAGTAAGTATCTTGTCTAACCTCGTCGAAGTAGTGATGAGGTTTTTTAGTTAAAAAATACTCATTAATAAATCATGCACCGTAAATCGGCAATAGAACTATACCACGATATAACAGAGAAGAATACATGAAACAAATACGGAAAACAGTAACTGAGTGCTAGCAGAGATCACAATTTAGATCTTCCAATACCTCGACCAATTCTTTCCTTAGAATGAAACCAATAAACCACGACAGTCACTTCATAACTTTCATAACATGAGGAATGTACTCAGATATTAAGTCAATTGCACGGCAACACCCTTCGTGCTTTTATCTCATCCTCACCCAATATATGTATAACAATACCAACCGATAACATGAATTATAAAGTAGGAAATACTCAAATAATAATAATGAACGAGGATATATATGTGGGCAAGAGAAATAGACTAAGCAGAAGGCATATAAGTAATGACATCAATTAGGAAAATACA